TTCAGTAAAGCTACTGAAGTGACCATGTAGGTCGTCGATCCGGTCACGCCCACATCGCTCAATCACGCAGGGGCGCGAAGCCAATATCCTCCAATGGCGTCACCGGCTACCCCAGCTGCACGAGCTGGGTAGTAGCAAACATTTGTTCCCTTAGGGCAGGAGATATGCGCCATTCCAAGTACCGACGGAGGGAGGACACAGCGTCTTACATATGGTGTTAGATAAAGCCAGAGCCCAGAAGTGTTTCATGAATTGTCAGCGTGTATGCCATAATCCAGAGCTAAACAATTGGAATGAAATCCGTCTCGCTCGGAGGTGCTCGAGGACAATTGATATCTTCGCGCCCGTTTCTGAGATCAAGCAGGCCATTGGATGTTCCACATGCATTCGGGCACTAGGCAGCGCCCGAGCAGGCGAGCAAGCCGTCCGCGCATCCGGGAAAAGGGGGTGTGGAGGAGCTGTATGTGATGAGGTCGTTGATTGGGACGATGACACGCGAGCTTAGCTGCCGTTCCGCATTTCGCGCGAGAGCAAACCCTAACCCTGCTCTGCCGAAGTTCCTCCATCACCATCGATATGGAAGATATTTGTCTTTTACTTTGCGCTTTTTCCTGCAGGTTAATCGGATTAAACTCTTTCGGAATATCAAGCTTCTCCGAAGCTCGGGAATATAACCGTGTTGGTCTTCTCGAAAATTCACCCACATTTCAACACCATCGACCACTCTATCGCCAGCTGCACGCGGCCGACGAAACACCGAATATCACACGAAGATGGGCCCTCCTGGAAAATAGCGGCTCTGGTTCCACGAGTTCAGTCGCCAAGTCCTCGACGACAGCAACTTCAATCAAGAGCGCGTCTAGCAGCCTGAGGTAGATGCTGCAAGTTAGTCTCAGGACTGCAATATGCTCCATTTGAAAAGCAGTTGATGAGCTCCTCCGACTTCCCCACGCGCCAGCTCAAGCAGCTCGAAGGCCACAAAGGTACCTGCTCCCCCCCGGAATTTTTCATGAAGATCAGTTACATGTGCTAATGAAACACAGGACAAGTCCATGCGGTGACCTATAGTAATGGCGGTGCGGAATATGTATGTGATACTCCTTCCACTCTCAATTGCTCAAGCTAATCCAGGTCAATCTCCAGATCCTCACCGGCGCCACCGACCGTGCAATCCGCTTGTTCAATGCATCCACATGTAATCATGTTCAGTCATACAACGCTCATGTCCACGAAATCCTCGACATTGCCGTTTCATTCGACAATGCGCGGTTCGCGAGCGGTGGAGGGGACAAGCGCGTGTTCCTTTGGGACGTGGCAACTGCAACTACACTTCATCGATATGAGGGACACACAGGACGCGTCGAGGCAGTCGCATTGGGTGGCGAAGACGACTGTACCGTCATAAGTGGTGGTTCGGACGCCAAGGTCCACATCTGGGATACGATCGGACCACCGTACAAGCCAATTCAGACATTTGCGCACGCGATAGACACCGTGACGAGCATCAAGGTCATCGATAAGCAAATCTACGCTGGCAGCTTAGATGGAAAGGTCTACTGTTATGATATCCGCATGGCCAATATCATCATAGACGTCATTGCCGTCCCAGTCACGTCTGTCATGCCGACAATGGACAACCGGGCGTACATCGTCACCACCACCGACTCCACGATTCGAATGATGAGCAAGAAGAGCGGCGAAATGATCCAGAGCTTCACTGCGCCTGGATATATCAATAACTCCTTCCGCATTCGGAGCACGTTCGGCATGGAGGACATGATTGTCCTTGGTGGCAGTGAAGCAGGAGAGGTGTTTGTTTGGGATGTGGCTACCGGGGAAGAGAGGCATCGTCTATCTCCATTCAAGGATGATGTGTATAAGGCCAAGAAGGTGGTGAGTGCTGTGGCGTTCTGCCCAGTGAGGCCAGAGTGGGTTAGCGGCGGCAGTGACGGGACAGTGACTGTGTGGGGCGTGGATGGCGCTTAAAATATATGCATGTACCAGTGGGAATGAATTTCTCGACAATAGACATTGAAGAGTTTACACTTCCCATATCTGCCTGTTGATACTAGAACATCGAGACGCTTCGATAGTGAGCATGCCTCCGGTGATAGTTCCACATGATAAGACGATGCTCCTCCTATGCTATTTTCTTAGCATTTCAACGACCCGCCCGACCTCTGAGTAGATACCGAATTTTATGGACTGAAAATCCTACCAATAATGCTACACCCGACAAATAAACGCCTCTTCAGACATCTCAAGTGACCCCAACAATGACGCTCTTCACGCCATCGCGCGCATGCTCAATGTATAGAAGATCAGTAGAAGAATAGGCTGCATCTAAAGATATATAGGCACTTAAATCACTGTCGGACGGTAGAGGAAGAGGTTCCAGGGAAAGCCACATTGGCACTCAGACGACCTGCGGAAAGCTGTGCTTTTCAAATCGAAGCAATTCAAAGCGAAACTCAAACCACTATGTTGCACACGTAGAGCACATCCCCGGCAAGAGTAAAACCGCAGATTTCAGTGGGTTTAGAATCCACTTATCCTCACTCAACTTTTGCCTGACTATCGTAGACGGTAGACCATCCTCACGGTTTGCGTCCAGACTTTCACACTTGGTCTTCTATGTACAATCTCCATCTATTTGTCTATCACTCTAAGTCACTTCCCGGAGCTTTCTCGCTGCTCTCGTGGCATTCCAGTGAACTGCTCCAGTGGTATTCCCTCGTGCTTCGCATTAACATCCGCCAAATGCACGACGACCTCGTCTCCAAAGCGCTCGTTAATCTCTTCAAGCGAGAGGTTCTTCGTCTCGGGACACCAAAACCACAGGATGATAATGTTAACTAGCGTCAAGCATATGAAGACGAGATAATAGCGCCATTGGATGTTTGCCAATGCCGTTGGAGCCGCTTCGACATAAACCAGGGTGGACAGGAACGTGCCAACAATGGCCCACGCCATACCTTGCGATCGGATGTGGGTTGGGAAAATCTCACTGCAGTAGACGTACGATACGACATCGATGCCACCGCCGTAGAATGCGATGAATGAGAAGACGAAGAAGACGCCCATTCCATTGCCGGCTTTGTTGGTTGTTCCTGCGAATCGGGCCACCATTGCTGTGACAAGGGAAAGACAGATCATGCATCCCGTGAGTCCGGTTGCTGCGATTCATATTAATGATGTACGATCATAATTTCAATACTCAGGGGCGTACCTACCCAATAATGGCTTCCGACCAACCTTGTCCAAAAGGTACGCTCCGAGAAAGTTCGACATTGCTGCCACAGTAACATACGCCGCTCCGAGAATAAGTGGAATACCTCCTGTTTCGCCCAGATTCTGATACAGCTGCACCATGTACAGGTAGATCACCATAGCTCCTGTCGTTTGGGCCGAATACTGAATGAAGAAGCCCATCCACATTCGTTTACGATACGAAGGCTTGGTGAAGAGTCCCTTGTTGCCGGTTTGCGCCCAGGCGGACGAATCGACCTGCACTTGCTGGACCATCTGGTAGAACTCGTTGCGTGCAAAAGTATCTTCCTCATCATTTGGATCCCCATGCAATCTGCGGACAATGTTCCAAGCATCCTCCACGCGGTCTCGAGTCAGCACTGGAAACAGTCAGTTGGACATCCCCAAGGCGCGATGTGAGCCTAAACGTACGCCATCGGGGAGATTCCGGGACCCATGGGCTGCAAGCAAGAAGCCCAAGCGGCGGCAGACAGGATATAGAGATCGGAAAGCGCCACTGAAAAGAAAGATTGCTCGAGTAGTACGTTCCGACGCCAACCCATCCCGCAATAGCGTAACCTGAGACGATCCATGAGCCGTGCTGTCCTACAAGCCAGCCTCGAGCGTTTGGAGGAGCTGATTGTATGTAAGCTGGAGATCTCTGCTGTATATTTGTGCATCATACATATCTCAGCTTGGTAGATCGGAATCAGCACAACTAGCATGCCAATGCCAAATCCGGTGATGCCTCGGGAAACCAGAAACATGGCAATATCTACGCTACCAGTCTGTAGTGCGCTGCCAACAACTGTGATTAAAGCACCGAGCCGCATCGTCTCCTTTCTCCCTCTTGCTTCGCACATCCATCCTGTTAGTAATGCCCCAAAGGTTCCACCAGCGGCAAATACTCCATTGACAGAACCAGTGATTGCATTTGCATATGAAGTACTGCCATCAAGACCGAACTTCTGAATAAAGCCAGGTTGTCCGAGTGTATTTGAAATGACGGAATATGCATATCCGAAGGTCAAGCTTCCCAATGTCAAGACCAGGATGATTCGAAGATTGTACGCTGTGTACGTTCTCGCCATGGTGAGCTAGGCGAAGCAGGACACTCGACGAGATGGGAATGAGAGACGAATGGATACATTTATGAAAGAGCAGAGATACTTGGACCGTCAAGGCGCAACAATGAAGTCCATATATCCGGGGTGTTCTCCGCACTCGATCCACGTTCTGACAGGAATGAAGGTAAGGATGCTTGCTTCCCTGTATATTTCCGGTGATCGACATCGTGCAATCGACTGCGGGGAGGTGCTGCTGCCGCAGGCCGGTAGTTAGTCTTCTGGAGGCTCTGAAACAAGAGTTTCAATCTACTCTGGGGTGCTTTTGCTCCAGAGCTGTTGCGGTCTTGTGAACGTCCGGGGGAAACAACTCTCACTAATTGAAATCTGCTACGTCTCGATTTTATTCTCTAGAACTCAGACCACGGCCCATGGGTTTATATCAATGCAGGAAGTAGAGTTAAAATCAGGGTCAAGGGCGTGAGAATCAAAAAGAACAGGCGAGTTGAGCAGCCTGTTCTGGGAGGCAGAGGCGCTTGTCCGCAGTGGCCCCACACTGGCTATCCTAAGCCGAAATGCGACAAAGAATTTTGAGCATAAGTAACCTCTTGAAGACCCCAAAGAAGAGAGCTGCCTCGATATTGGACAAATAGAAAGAGCAAAAAAAAATGTCAAAAGAACAATAGAAGGGTGTAGTCGGAATCGAACCGACGACACTAGGATAATTGCGGATTGACTGCAATCCCATACTCTAACCACTGAGCTACACACCCTAGCTTTCAGCACGCTCCAAAAATCAAAATTATCTATGTACTTGACTAATTTCAGTGACGATTTTTCTTTTTCAGCGCACCGCATTTCTCCATCTAGATGTACCGTTCTCTCCACTCATCCATCAATACATCTGAAAGAGGCTCAAGTCCTCAAAATACTAGGAGTTCTTCGATGATTCCGTCATATTCCATCCCCCTTCTTGCTATGCACCAGTTCGGAGAAAATTCGCCACAATCTCGACTTTATCCCCATCCTCGATAGCTTTCCGGCGAATTTTACAGCACCCTGTAGGAAAATGTCTCACGGCAAATTACAATTCGCGCCATAATCTTCTGCGCAATGGCTATTGGATGTTTGATTCAAATCTCGTGCTCATGTCAAGGCCTAGAACGACACTGCACATGATTCAATCAGCCGCCTAGAACACTTTTAGCGACCTACTGAACTACAGCCCAACCACGCGTCATTTATTGTTAAAGAAAACCGTCTTCTGCATTCTGATCCATCGCTCTCACTTGCTGGAGCATGCTTAGAGGTACACTAATTGAAGTAGCTAGAAAATCGACACAGTTTCGAGACCATCCAAAGTTCCAAAGAGGCTCCGGTAATAGCGCAATCCAAGGGTGAACCCCGGCAATGAGGCTCGAAGTCACACCACTTTTGCCCACGACAGTGTCAGATTCGGGCCAATCCGGCTCTAGAGCGTGAACGGATGCAAGGCACAGATACCCGCTATCGATACAGGTGGCAGGTGTTCGTCCAGCGCAAAGTACATAGATATACCGTGCTACCCTGCGGGTACTTGGCCGAAGTCGCATGCTCACCTGCTCAGTCTGAATTTGCCTCATCGGATCGAGGTTTTAACGCAGGTGCAATCCTCCCATCAATCTAAGAGACCTTGTATTCTTTTCACCTTTGGTATTTCAGTTCTGTCTCGATCCACTCTCCTCTCACTGCTGTCACATTAAGATCGCTCTTGGGCTTGACTCATAACCGCTCGAAGCTCGCTACGCCCGCCGATATCAAGATCCCCTCTACGAATAGCCCAACTTGCGGCCTCAAGCTAATCGAACGCATTCACACGACAACCATGATAATCACGCGCGCTTTCTCCCTCACGAATTTTCTTATCGGCGGCTCGGCCCTTTGCTTTCAAGTTTTCGTTCTGTACCCATGGCACGAGAAGCTCGAACAGGAATTCGGTGAGCTCAAAGCGGAGCACACTCGCTTGCTAGACGGAATGTCTTCGGACCAGGACACAAAGCTTCGCAGCATCAGAGACCGGCTCGAGAATCTCGCAGAGAGAAGAGAGCAAAATAAGGCAACGTTTTGGAAGAAGATGTGGTGAATTTGCATCAGCTCGGATAGACTTTCGACGGATAGACTTTCGAGGTATAGACCGTGGTGAATCTGCATCTTTTCGGATAGACTTTCGGGACATAGACTGATTCTGGGAACTTCCATCGACGAGTTCGTTGAAAACCCTTGAGACGCCGCCACACACGAGGCCTCTCAAGGATTCGACGAGAGCTGACGCCAGTTTTCAGGTCGCTTGCGCGAGGGCAGCAACGCAAACTTGTGGATTAGGCTCAGCACGAAATGGAAGTATGCCCATTCCCCCAGCATGCAATGGATCGGCGTTTTTGAAATCAAACAGCGGCGCATTTTCTGAGATTTACCTACTAGTTAGCTTTGATTCCCCAATTTTAGGAAATGGCAGGTCCCTTCATCCAGTTCAGTTTCAGTTCAGAGAATCTTCAATTCCGTGCATGACTCAGCATTCTGGCCTCGGTTAGAATACGGCGGTTTCTCGGCTTGCTACGGAGAATCCCATCATGAGTTGGACCCTCAGACGCGTCGCTTACAAGTTACATCCAACCTGTCTCGACACTCGTGTTTCAGGTATCTCACATATATACGCGCTCTTTTGGGCCCATCTTCTCGCGCGACATGGAATTCTCATCGTCAGCAGCAATTACTATCGGTCTTTGCTTGCAATGCTGAATGAATATCGTCAATGCAGAGGACAACCCGGCGAAAAGGAAGCCTGATCGCCAATAGGACCTCGACAGCGGACGATCGCATCGTTTTCAATCGTGCATTGTCTCAAAGAGGCAAGTCGTGGGCCGCAATTGGCTACGGCTGTTCTCTAGATGTGTCCAGATGCTCCTCGGCATCGACTCAACGGCAGAGATCCGCTCACACTGCTTCGTGCGGAACGGAGATGCAGTGGGGCTTGAGCATGGAGTGCGGGGCGTATTCGGACCGTCATTGCTGCAGAGCTTATAAACTTAACGCCGTGGATGGCCGTATCATCCTTTGGACGGCCGTATCATCCTCTGGACGGCTATTGAGATCTTATTAAAAGGTATCTTAACCTCTCCTGTCTTACATCTCATACCAGCCCTCTCAAGTTCAATCCCCAAGCGTCAAAATGGTCTTCGAAGTCTACTGTGACCCATGCACATGCAATAGCCGCAAAGCACTCGCTGGCCTTGAACTGCTTGGTACCAAGTTTCATTTTAACCATGTGGATTATTTTAAACGCGAGCATAAGGATGAACACTACACGAGGGACCTGAATCCTTTCGGAACTGTTCCATCCGCAACGGATGATTCCGAGCCAATCACCGAATCCAATGCGATCCTGATGTACGCAGCAGACCGGGACGGTGGCCACTCTGCATATCCCAAAGACTTGAAGAAGCGTGCACAGGTCAACCGCTGGATGCTGTGGGAGGCGTCTGTTTGGTTTCCAACCTGCTACGTCTTCATCGTCGAGAATATGGTGAAAGCGATCATGAAAGCTCCACCAGATCAATCCGTGCTCGATGCGGAGACAACGAAATGGCACAAGATGGCCACGATCCTCGACAATCAGCTCGCAAAGCACAAGTGGATCTGTGGCGATGAGGTCACAATTGCCGATATTGCACTTGCGGCGCCGATGCACCTTTATGGGGTGGCGAAGCTGCCGCTTGACGAGCATCCAAATCTCAAGCGATGGATGACCGAAGGAATAGAGCAGCTCCCGTGCTGGAAAAAGACACAGGGACCTGTCGACACGCTTGCTGCCATGGCGGCGCCAAATGGTACGAACGGTACAGTGAACGGTCCCTCCCAGGTTCGTTCAACGCTAAATTACACCAAGAATCTTGATCCGAAGCTCACAGAGCTGTACTACTACGAGTCGGAGAAAGCGAAGGAGATCCACTTGCCTGGGGATGATCCGCGTGATGTTGCAATCCATAACGGCTGGGACCGTGCGAAAGACTTTTCGATTGATAGGGAAGGCTTTTCATTACATGATTTCAAGACAGAGTTCAGTAGCTGGACGGACGATGAGATAGTCAAATCAAAGTTCTATCCCGAAGTCGTGGAGTTTCTCAAGAAGAGCGTTGGAGCCAACCGCGTACTGGTCTTCGACCACACAATCAGAACTAAGGTCAATGATGCCAAGAAAATCACTCAAGAAACCAACACGTCGCAGCGCGCCCCGATAATGCTGGTGCACTGCGACTATACCGCCGACTCAGGTCCATTGCGAGTACGCCAGCTTTTGCCGGACGAAGCGGAGAAGCTCCTGTCTCGCCGCGTAGCTTTCATCAACGTGTGGAAACCTCTCCACAACATCGTCGAGGAGCGTCCTTTGGCAATGTGCGACACCACCTCTGTGCCTCCCGACGACTTCTTCAAGCTGCACTTGTGGTACCGCGATCGCAAGGGCGAGAACTATGTGATGCGCTACTCGCCAGAGCACAAGTGGTGGTATTTCCCAAAGATGCATCCTGATCAAGCTATTTTGCTGAAGACGTACGACTCTGAGACTGATGGCCGTGCTCGTTTCGTCGGCCACAGCGCGTTTGAAGATCCAAGCTCGCCCCCAAATCCGCCAACGCGAGAAAGCATTGAGATTCGGACCATTGTATTCTTTTGAGCGCTGCTGCTGTTCTTCTATCAACCATTACGGGAGCCCTTCGTGCGCCCTGATAGAAGATGTTGATTAGGTAACGGCTTCGTCAAGAAACCTCTTATATCCATGCGCACTAACGACACTGGGACTCTCACTGTTTTGTTTTCAGGACTCGCAAGTTTCCCCAATGTACATTACAGGAAATCAAGTTCGATGATTCTATCGTCGCACGAACACGGAGTGCTCTTACGATTCCAAGTTTTTCCAAAGTTTTGCAGCCCCTGCGTATCCACTTTGTCGGCGCTCTATCCGAGGCTGACGATGTCGTACCGCCAGCCACCGGATATAACAACGACTGATATCATATCACCTCATTAACTGCTGTATTTAAACTCTAAGTAGAGTAGAATAAAACACTTTTGTTTACAAAGTGTCTTGCACCAATCGGAATCAAGATCGATTTGTACCTCGCATACTGATGCGGCTGTCATCGGGTTGTTTTCTGCAATCGAAAATCCCACGGTGGACAGCAATGGAAGACTTGAGAGCGACACGTGGCGCGCGGATTCTGCGTCCGCCCAATTAAACGCGCTGTGCTGCTCCCCACACTGTAAGATGACGGAGGTCATTGTTGCCTCTCGAAGAGCGCGCGTTTCACCCCTGGGGAATCCCGGCAGTTCAGTTCCATTCTGTGCGCACCGTTTCTCCGCAGGGGCCTCCAGCTTTCACCGCCACGCTGCTTTCGTGATGGATATGCACGACGTCGTCATCGCAGATTGATCTTTACATGGACTTTTAAACGCCGCTGCTCACCACCCTCCAGTCCCTTTTGTATTTCTCTTGTATCGATTATCATTTACTCTTGTGGAAATGGCTAGTGCATTGTATACCAAGGTCGCCCTGCAGGCTATCAAGCTTGGCACCGACAAGGTGCCGGAGAAGGTGTGGGACCGCATCCATGGTATCAAACCAGACAAAGAGGGGGATGAGAGGAATAAGAGCAAGGACAAAGAAAGGGGTAGAGATAGAGATTCGAGCTCGAGGAACCATCGTCGCCATCGTAGCGAGGCAGCGGAGGATCGATAC